AGGATGAGGATGAGGATGACGAGGATGATGGAGGAGGAAGTAGGAGGAGCAGGAGGAGGAGAAACAGGAAGGGGGTGGAGGAGGAAGTAGGAGGAGCAGGGGGAGGGGGAGGGGAAGACGAAGGATGAGAGGTTCAGAAGGGCACCGACGATGAGGAGACGAGGAGGAGACGATGATGATGATGATGATGATGATAATGATGATGATGATGATGATGATGATGATGATGATGATGATGATGATGACGATAATGATGATGATGATGATGATGATGATGATGATGATGATGATGATGATGATGAGGAGGAGGAGGAGGAGGAGGAGGACGATAAGGAGGAGGGAGGAGGAGGAGGTTTTGGTTGTGAGGGGAGGACCTTCTAGGAGGAGAGATAGGGAGGAGGAGGAGGAGGAGGAGGATGTCAGGCTTTCGAAGGTTTCTAGGACTTTGTGGCAGACGTTCCTGGGTTGGGTGAGGCGGGAGAGTTCTGATGACGACGACGATGATATCGACAACGATGATGGTGATGATGCTGATGCTGATGCTGATGCTGATGCACATGCTGCTGCTGATGACGATCCTGATGATGGTGACGATGACTGTGATGATGATCCTGCTGCTGCTGATGATGATGATGATGCTGATGCTGCTGCTGATGATGTTGGTGATGATGATGCTGCCGACGATTGTGATGGTGATGGTGATGGGGATGGTGGTGGTGATGATGTTGGTGGTGATGGGGATGGTGATGGTGATGGTGACGATTATTATGAGGATGACGATTCTGACGATGCTGATGATGACGCTGATGCTGATGCTGATGCTGATGCTGATGCTGCTGATGATACTGGTGGCGATGCTGATGATGGTGATGCTGTTGACGGTAGTGCTGTTGATGGTAATGGTGATGATGATGGTGATGATGATAACGATGACGATTGTGGTGGTGATGCTGATAAGGATGATGATGCTGAGGATGAGGATTAGGATGCAGCTGACGATGCTTTGGTGTTGAGGATGAACATGATGATAGTCATTAAGATGATGATGATAACGATGATGCTGCTGTTGATGATGATGCTGATGGTGGATTCTGATCACGATTGTGACAGTTGTGATGATGAGGAGGAGGATGCGGAGGAGGATGAGGATGAGGATGATGATGATGATGACGAGGAGGAGGAGGAGGAGGAGGAGGAGGAGGAGGAGGAGGAGCAGCGTGAGGCGGCTGACGAGAAGAGAGGTATTGCAAGAATGGGATGGGTAGGTGAAGAAAGGGGCACGAGGGGGAGGGAGGCGGAGGGCGAGGGCCGGATAATATGATTGATGATGGCGAAGGTGATACGTGTTATGGCTATGACGATGACGTTTTGAGAATAGTGGTGGTTCTATAGTGGTCGAGAGAGTGACGAGGAGTTTGGCGGTGATTACGGTGACGATGATGATGGTGATGAGTGTGATTATGGATGGGAGTGGGATGAGGAGGATTAGGAGGTGAGAGGAGGAGGTGGAGGAAGTGGAGGAGGAAGGTGGAGGAGGAGGAGGAGGAGGAGGAGGAAGAGGTGGGTGGGAGGAGGAGGTGGAGGAGGAAGGGGGAGACATGAGGAGGTGGAGAAGAAAGAAGGAGTTAGGAGGGTGAGGAGAAAGGAAAAGGAGGGACTAGAAGGGAGAAGGGGGAGGAGGAGGGGGAAGAGAAGGAAGCAGGGAGGGAGGAAAGGACGGGGGAGGAGGAGGATGAGGCAGACCGGTGGCATCGGCAGGTGCTGAGACCGTACATGATGGGCATTGAGGCGCTGGAGCCCGACGGGAAGTGACCAACGGGCGGCAGCGATTCGGCGGACCCCTGCGAGGGCGCCAAATCGGCCACACTCCAGGGGCGCTCAGATCAAGGAGAACGGAGGAGGAGGATGAGAAGGAGGAACATCGTCGTGGTCGCCTTCGCCGACAGGGTGGTCTCGTCGGAGGTCAGTGGCGCGGACGGCGTAGGGCAAGTCCACCGCCGCGCAGGAGGAAGGAGGAGGAGGAGGAGGAGGAACGAGGAAGGAAGGATGACGGGCAGGAGGAGGTAGACAGGAGGAGAAGGGAGAGCGAGGAGGAGGAGAAGGAGGAGGAGTCATAGAGCCAATGTGTCTATATGAAAAGAGTATACTGGTGAGGTTGAGCAGAACGATGATTTGGCTCATGATGCCATGGCGACGGCGAATGCGAACACATGCGCATACGTAATCATACTGCGTGTTTTGGGAACTTGGTCTAGTGGGCATGGCGCGAAGACGAGGCCGCACATACATTTACCCATGCTTACTCGTGCGAATTCACTTCATTTGGGGTCGAGGTTGCACGCGTAATTGCAACCACATGTCCGTGCGTGCGTGCGCGATTGCACACGGCGAAAGATGTACGCGCGAACATGCGATTGTGTTTGTTTAAACCGTGTTTCTGTTTCCCTGCAGTCGTCGAGGCAGTGTGGGGCATCCCGCATCATCGCCCGCGTGTTTCCGGACGCGAGCAGGCTGGATTGGTTTCATTTTCATTCCCGACCCTTGGCAGGGATGCGTGAGTGGGCATGACTCAGTCGCCAAGCTCCGCGCCGCAGACTGCCATGGTAGTTTTTTCGGCCGCGTCAGCTTGCGGCCATTGTCCCCGAAGATTGCGTCCTCATCATCCTCCTCTGTCCCTTTCTCTTCTTTCCCTCTCGACTGACACTTCCTGTGCATCTGTTATGCCCCGCCCATTCGGCACCCTCATGCAGTCCCTGTTCCTCCCCGAGACCCCCCTCGTGCTTCAGTGTGCGTAAACAAGTACCGTGCAGAAAGAGGGCGAGACTGATAGTTCGAGTTCCCACGTGGGCATTGTCCTCCACGTGCAAGTTCTCCCAGTGGGCGCATCAAATGAGACATTGCATTTGCCATCACGACACTTTCTTACACAGGCTTCTGACAGGCTCACGCGGTGGCGCAAGCGGTGCCGGAACTGCGCCGACCGCTGTTGAGCAGTGAACGGTGATAGACAGCCGACCCCGGAGGGGTCCTAAGCTTCGCGACCGAACGAACGAACGGATATTCCGTATTCGAAGATGGCCGCGGTGACCCATTGAAGTTCCATGGCCATTTGCGACGTTTGCGAACGTTGATTTGCGACGTTCACGAACGTCGAGAAACTTGCCAGTCCGCGGGCGCCTAAGCGGTCAGGGATAGCCAGGCGCCGCTCAGCAAGCGGTGGGACGCACCGAGAGCGAAGCGAGGCACAGGGAAAAGAACGCGGAGGAGGAGGAGGAGGAGGAGGAGGAGGAGGAGGAGGAGGAGGAGGAGGAGGAGGGGGGGGAGGGAGGAGGAGGGGGAAGTAGAGGAGAAGGAGGAGAAGGCGGAGGAGGAGAGGAGGAGGAGGAGGAGGAGAGGAGGAGGGGGAGGTGGAGGGGGAGAAGAGGAGGAGGAGGAGGAGGAGGGGGAGGTGGAGAAGGAAGAGGAGGAGGAGGAGGAGGGAGGAGGAGGAGGAGGGGAAAGGAGGAGGAGGAGGAGGAGGAGGAGGAATGGGAGGAGGAGGAGGAGGAGGAGGAGGATGAGGAGGAGCCTGAGTTGGTCTGCGTGGTCTGCGAGGAGGAGGAGGAGGAGGGGAGGTGGGGGAGGAGATGGAGGATGAGGAGGAGGAGGAGGAGGAGGAGGAGGAGGAGGAGTAGGAGGAGGAAGAGGAGGAAGAGGAGGAGGAGGAGGAGGAGGAGGAGGAGGAGGAGTGGGCGCGGACGCGAGTGAGGGACGGGAAGGAGCCCGCTCAGACCATGAAAGCCGGCGTAAGGGGGGGCGTGGAAGAACTTGCAAACGAGCTGCGCAGCGGCGAAGGCTGGGGCCAGCTTGGTGAGGTAGGCCTTGAAGCGGTGCAGGATGACAAGATGGCGATTTTGGGAGGAGCCGGCCCATGCAGGGGAAGGCCTTGACGGTGAACGAGATGAAGTGGCCGAGCGAGAAGAGGCATGAAGGGTCGGAATTGGGTTGAGGACCTGGGCTCAGGGCAGAGCCGAGGCAACACTGGCCGAGCAAAGCCAGGTGGGGCAGACCATGCAGGAGAAGGCTTCGTACGGGTGGGCTGGTCGAAGTGGCTGTGTGTTGAACGCGTACAGTAGTTCCGTAGCGGGAGGAACCCAGAGCAGAGCCGACAAAACTGACCAGGGTGAGAGGCCAGGATGGCGGTCAAGGGCACGCAGTGCGCCCCAGGGCGAAGGACACGACGAGGACGACGCCCGCAGGGCCCCTCCTCTGTCCAACAGCACGAGGCGGACCCTCGCCGAAACGAGCGTCGAAACACATGTTTTCCTAGATCTCGCGTAGTATGGTGCTATCGTCTGTTCTTGCTGTACGCGCACCGATAAGATCGCCGCCCATATTTTTTGTGCACGTCGTACTTCGCAACGCATGCAATCATCATCCCGTGCGCGTTCTCAGTGTGTCTTCGTCCACTGTTGACGCTGTCGCGGCTGTTGTTCTTTCATCCTAGCCTCGCTGTGTGGGTCGCCGCTGTTTTTCGCTTTCGCCACCCAGACTCAACTCCAACTTGTGAGTGTGCCGTGCCGCAGGACGGGGGAAGGGGGGAGGAGGGAGGGGGCAAGTTGCAGGAGAAGAAGTGGGACAGGGAGGGGCAGGAGGGGAGGACGTAGGGAGGGAGCAGGAGCGGGGCGGGGGGAGCAAGGGAGCCAGGACAAGGAGGAGGAGGAGGCCCAGTGTAAACCCAAGACGCACCAACGATATTGCACCAAACCCTCCCTCCGAGGTCCGTCTGCACGGGCTCCTGCAGGGACTTCTACTCCTGGCGGGAAGAGCCCCGGCAGAAGACCGCCGGCTGCGAGCCCTCCATCGCGCCGGGGATCGAGGGGCTTCCCCCCCTTTCCTGGCGCTCCCTCGACCCCGCTCGGGCCGCCCTCAGCCCGGGCCACAGCGCGCAGCGTGCGGCCCGCCGCCCGGAAGCGGTTGCGGGATCGCGCCCCGCGCGTGGCCGCGCGCTCCCGCGCGCCATGGCGAAGAGGAGCCGGCCGGCCGAAAATCCCCAGGGGCGGTCCTCGCGAGCGGCCGGGTGTTGCCAAGCGTTGGTCGGGGGGGCCTCGCGATCGGCCGAGGGGCCTCGAGGTCGGGTGTGTTCGGGCGCTTCCGTTGGTCCTCGGCCGTTTTCCAGTCCCTGGCTGCTCTCCAGCAGCTGCGCCTCGCCGAGGGCGTTCCGGGGGGTGCCCGGAGCGCCCCAGGACCCAAAAAGTGGACGACGAGGATCTTTGGGGAACCAGGCTCAGGAGGGGATTCGAGCAGTGGCGAATCGTCCTGGCGTGCCTTTAGGCCGACCAAACAATGTTCTAAGAACCTTTTGGGGTTTCCACGAGATATTCTTAGAACAATTCTGGGCGGGACTGTCTTGTTTTAACGCATCGGTTTTATGTTTAAGAACGTTGTTTTTGTTCGTCGAACATTTTTCGGATTTTAAGAGAATTTCGTGGTAGGCTATAGGAATACCGGGACGGTCGGTCCCTGCTCAAAAGATGCATCGACCCCGAATCGCCCACTGATCACCGACAGAGGCCCGAACGCCCACACTGCCCAGGAGCTTTCGGATTCGCTGTCGGCGCCCCATCGCCGATCTGTCGTCAGGTCGATGTCTCCCCCGTGAGCCAATCACCCTCTCATTAACGTTCCCCTTCAAGCAGTCGGGGGCTCGTAGAGGAAGCCTTCGCTGGTCCTCAGGGGCTTCACCTCGTCGAGAGCATTCTGGGGGTGCCCAGATCGCCCCGAACGGGGAATTGGCGTCGGAGGCCAGAGATATGACCCGAAACACATCAGGCGTGGAAGAGGTGTGTGTGTGTGGACTAGGGAGGGTGGGAATGTCGACGCCAGGGCCATGATGTTTTCAAGGTGTCCTGGCCTCCTCTTCTTTGAAGACGATTTCTGGCCCCCCACCTCGTCTGCGCACATGCCTCGGGCCACGATGCGCTAATGACTCCGACGGTGGGACCCCGCACGATAACCTGTTTAGGTTGCCCTTCTCTCTTTCCTCCTCGCTCTGGCGGGCACCCTCCTCTCGCCCTTTGCTCTGCCCTCTCATCCTCTTCCTCCTTATATTTGTATTCCTGTTCCTTCTCCACCTCATCATCGCCCCCTACCCCGTCCCCCCTCCTCATCCTCCTCTTGCCTTTTCCCCATGTTCACCTCCCCTTCCCCCTGGTCGAGGCAAGCAAGTCGATTTTCTTCGGCGCCGTCGCCGCCTCGGCTAGCACGCGCGCGTTCGCCGACGGCTAGATCGCGAAGCCTTCGGGACAATCCCGCGGGCCATGCCTTCGGGACAACCCCGCGGGCCGCTGGGGCGCGGGGGCGGGCCGTCGGGACAACCCCGCGGGCCAGGCCGTTGGAACAACCCCGCGGGCCTCGAGGTGGGCGCGGCCGCGCTCAGGCGGGGGGCAGCGCGAAACCCAGCCGTGCTGCGAGCTGCTCCGCCTCGGTCCTCGAAATCTCCGATATCTCGTCGGACTTCTGGAGCGCCTTCCGCAGGGACGCCGGCCGCCCGCGCTCCAGGAATTGTCGCGTTGGCGGCCGCGGGATCAGCATGTTCCGCATGAGCGTGGCGCGGACAGAAGACATGACGTAAAGGTGCAGCCACCACCTACTCGTCCGACATGTCCGTGCGACCAGCGTCCACGTCCGTGGCGCAGTCAACGGTGACGCCGTCGCCGCGTCGGGGGACTGGGTTCAGCCGAGCGAGTGGCCCCGTTCGGATTGGCCCGCGAGGGTTCGCATCACATTGCGTCATTGCGGGGCTTCACAGTGACGACTCCTACGAGATCCCGAGAACCTGCTCGGAGTCCATTACGCAGCTGCGGGCTCCATAAAGGGGGGGGGGGGCTCCCGCCAGAGACTTTTTCGCGATTCAATCCAAGACGAGGTTCCCGCTCGAGTTTTCCTCCAGATACAACCCTGGGTGGGGAACCCAAACATGGCGACCGGTCTAGGCTCCACATGGCCCGCTCGCATTACTAATATGCATCTGTGGCCCCATAGGGAGGGGTTCCCGCCTGCGACGTCCTCGCAATTCACTCACTAACGAGGTTCCCGCCTGAGGGTCATTCAAAATTCAGGCGCCAGTGGCCCGATAGTGACGACAGATGCAGGATTGGGGTGACCCGCTTGGACTACCCACACGAACCGCGTGCTCCATAGAGAGGGGTCCCGCCTGAGACGTCGTCGAAAATCACTCACAAACGAGGCTCCCGCCTGAGTTTTTTTTGTTTGCAATGCAGGCGCGAGGGGCCCAACAGCGACGACACGTATAAGATTTGGATGACCCGTTCGGATTGCCAACATGAGGTGCGGGCTCAATAGGGACGGGGTTCCCGCTTGAGACGTCCTCACAATTCACACAGGCGGGGCTCCCGCCATAAATTTGTTCAATATAAATGCATGCGTGCGTGAGTGTGTGGGTGCGTTTGTGTCTGTCGGTGATGATTGTGGGAATGATTTCGGTGATGCTTATGATGATGATGATGATGATGATGGTGATGATGGTGATGATGATGATTGTGATGATGATGATGATGATGATGATGATGATGATGATGATGATGATGATGATGATGATGATGATGATGGTGATGGTGATGGTGATGGTGATGGTGATGGTGATGATGATGATGCAGATGATGATGATCATGATGATTGGGTGACTAAGTAAATGAGGAACTGAGTGATGATGGAGATGCTGACGAAGATGAGTGTGAGTACGAAGAGGGGCGGTGATGATGGTGGTGGTGATGATGATGCTGATTATGTGGGTGGGTTATTGATCCTGTTCCTGCGTGGGGTGTCCAGAGAAAACAAGAGCCCCACTTGGGATGTGGGGCACACATACCTTCCGCGCGCATGGCTAGGGCCATGGTGCGCTAATCGACCTCTTGCTGGATCCCCTCTTCGACGCATCCGGCAACAGTGTCCCTGCCAGGCCTTATGGATGCGGTCGGAGAAGATGGAGTCGGTGGATCGCGCCGCGCCGCGCCGCTCATGCATTGTCGATTCGGCGCGGTCTGGAATCCGATTTTCTTCATCCAGACGTTGCCGATGCATCGCCGACGCGTGGGCGATGCGGTGCGATCCCTCGACCCCATGATTCCCCTGGTGGCCCAGATTATCTCCAGAGCACCCGTCACGAGGCCCAGGGAGCCCCAGAGGGTCCAAATTGGAGCGTAACGCTAGGAACACCGCGGGTTCAGACGAGGGTTAGCTGAGACATTTGTGGCTCTGCCGTCTCCTCCTCCTCCTCCTTCCCTGCCTCCCCCCCCTCCTCCCGCACGCCCCTCCTTCCTCCCTCCTCATCTTCCCCGTCGTTCGGGACAGTCGCTGGTGCCTCCGACAGGCCCAGTCTGGGTCAGATCTTGGGAGGGGGAAGTCGACATGGAAACTCAGTGGGCTGAGGGTATCGTCCTTTGGATGCTGTGGGTCATCTGTGGGGCCCGGGCCTCCCGTGGGCTTCTCGTCGCCATGGCTGGAGTTCCTCGAAGTTCTGGTCCAAACGCTTCTTGGCAGGTGTCTGGCTTGTAAGTGTTCAGGGTCGCCTTGATGGAGGGGGTACTGGAGTCTGCCGCTTGTTGTCAGGCTCCCAGGGCCCTCCCGTGTCCCCTCTGGTGACCCAGTCCCTGATTATTCAAGGATGGTGCACCACCACCGCCAGGCATCCACAGGTCAATCTCGGGCCAGATCCTGGTGTACATCCCAGTCTGGGGCCGTTTTCCGCTCTCATGTCAGATGTCCGTTTTGGGTACGGATCTGCTCGACTCCAGCCCGGTCGGCTCGTGTTCGATTATGGTTCGATTCTCGCTCGACTCGAGTTCGATTCAAGGCCGACTCAAGTCGACGGATGCACACATTGTTCATTTCTAATTATTTGAAAGTTATTTGATTTTTGGGGGGGGGGCAAGATCCTTTCATTTCTAATTATTCTGTCCTGGGCCTCTTCCTGGCCACCAGGGGGCCAGGAACAAGTAGAAACGACCACAACTAGAAACGAGCACGATCAGAAGTGAACGACGTGCACGACGCAGCACCGACGCACGAGTGGAGCTCCAGCGGCTCCGCGGTGCCGTATTTTGTTCGCTTCGTCGGGTCTCAGGCTTCCCCCTGGGGCTGCCCCTTGGAGTCTCTGCGCCCGCCTGAAGGAAGGGGGCCGCCGCGCCGAAGGCGAAGGCGAAGGCGAAGAGCGCGAAGAAGGCCCTCCGCCCCCCACGCCCGTGTGCACGCGCACCCCGCGGCCGCAGGCGCCCTGTGCGCGCCTCTGCGCGCCGCTGCGCGCGCGCGTCTGCTCGCCGCTGCGCTCGCTGCTGCGCGCCGCTGGGCGCCGCTGGTTTCGGCGGCGCGTTCTCTCGGGAGCCTCGAGACGGGGGTCAATGCAAATGGGGGTCAGCCACGGCACCGGATCCTGCAGGATCCTGCGAAGACCCCCTCTGGCTGACCCAGGTTAGCGAGCCGCTCGAGGCCGCGAGGCGGCCGCGCATATTGGCTGACCCGGGTTTGCGACGACCTGCGTTGCAGTTTTTTTTTCCTGCATTGCAGTTTTTGGGTTCCTGCTGACCCGGGTCTGGATTGACCCGGGTCAGAAGATCCCCGATTCTCGCTCAGCATCGCTTGTCCGATCCCCATCTCAGCCACGCGCAGAGGGGGGTACGGGGAGGGGGGAGGGCTTCTCAGAAGCACCCCTGCTTCTTAGAAGGCGCGGGCCCTATCTATAGATGACAGGCTGGCGCCTTCTAAGGATCAGCCTCGTTCTAAGAAACCCTCCCCCCTCCCTCCACCCCATTGTGCACACCGCCAACCATCCCCACCAGGCCATGGTGGCCTTTCGGCCCCACCATCCCACCACCCAGTGGGGGATAGGCCCGTCGAAACCCGAAGGGGGCAGTCCCAGCGTGCCCATCTGGGGGGGGTAGATCGGCCCGTGCGAGCCAGGCCGCTCCAGCGGGGATCGGGATCGGCCAAACGGTGCTCACCCGCACCGCTGCGCGCGTCTCCACCCGCCTGCGGCCTGCGCCCGCAGCTGTCACCCGTGGAGCGCTCGTCGTCTGAAGATCGCATTCTCTGCACGGGCGGGCGCGCCGCAGGTGGAGCCGGCCTCGTGGCAGGTGCCGCGCGGAAGCTGCCCGGCCCCCGATGGCCTCGTGGGTCCGCAGAACTCTTGGGGGCGGCTCGGGGAGGTTCAGGATGGACAGCGAGAGTGCGCCCTTGCATCTGGAATCGAGGGGCCTTCGGCCCATTCCGCAGCCGTGCCTGGGTCGTAGACGACAGGTACCTCAGAGGTTTCCTGGGGCCTCTTGGGAAGGCCTTTTGGGGGACGCCTTGGGGCCTCTGAAGGACCTCTTGGGGTCTCTTAGGGGGCGTCTTGGGAGCCTCTGGGGGCGTCTTGGGCGGGGTTTCTGGGGACCTCGTGGGGGCCTGCTGATGGCCTCGGGGGCCATTGTGTGGCTCTCTCCAGGAAAAGTCTCCTCCTCCTCCTCCTCCTCCTCCTTCTCATTCTCCTCCTCCCTCTGAGGGTCTTCATGGGGCCGTCTTGGGCTCTCCTGGGTGCCTCCCGGGCCGTCTTGGTGCCCTCTTGGGCCGTCCTGGCGGCCTCTCGGGCCGGCTTGAGACGCTCTTCGGGGCCTCTCGGGCTGGAAGCCCGTGTAAGCGAGAATGCAGAGCTCGCGCAAAGTGATACGATGTTGCCTCCGTGTGGGCCGTCCTGAGGGATTTGGGCGTCGTTGTCAGCGGCACGGGCACACATGGAGTTCGCAGGACACACTCCGAGATCGGCGGTTCTCCTGTCGCAGTTCTGAGCGGCAGATGTCGCCGCGGCCAACGACAGCCTCGTCGTTCGCTGGGAACGACGAGCGGGATCGCCCAGGAGGATCAGCATTCTGGTGCAAGGAGGGGGGACCGGCTCTGATCAGCCGTTCCCGGAAGTGCCCGTCGCGCGATCAGTTGCCCGGTGGGGTGCGGCCTTGATGAGCACCACGGCCCAAGGCGCCCGCTGTGCGGGCTCATCTTCTCCCCAGGACCTGGGCCCATGCAGAACGAAATAAACATGACGAGCGCGGGTATAGGATCCTACTGACTGATTGCACCTCCCTCCCTCCTTCCCCACATCACGTTGAAGCCGTCGCAGACGGCATGGTCCGCCCACGGCGGCGGGCGCGGGGGGACGGGTGAGGAGGGGCGCAGAGTGAAGGTATGAGACAGGAAGGACAAGCAGCCCATCTCCAGAAGCTCGTCAAACGCCGTACAGAGACGGCTTGATATGGACGAACATATCCCACCCCGCCTGTTCTGCAAAAACCTCCGCTACCCCCCCCCTCCCTGACGAGTTGCGCACAGCAGCAGTAAACCAGCGATGGCGGTCCGACGGCACAGAGGTGGTGGCAGCAGCACGTGTGTTAGATGCTCGTTTTCGGGACCTTCCTGGGGCCCACCTAACGGATCTGTTCGACTCTAGTTCGACTTCAGATCGATTCAGGTTCGGTTCAAGGCCGACTCAAATTCGACTCAGGTTCGGCTCAGGTTCGACTCAAAATCGGATCAAATCGACTGACGTTCGACGCAGCTTCGACGCACGAGTGGAGCGAGTGTCTCCAGGAAGGTCCCCAGAATGAGCATCCAATGTGTGGGGGGGAGAGGCGAGAGCCGTGAGCAGCCCGTCGAAACACAGACGGGAACTCTCGCCTGCGATCTGGTGTTCTGGCTCTCCGTCGGGTGAGCGCCTCAGCACGCTTAGAAGCAATTCTTGGCACAATTTCAGGAGACAGGGGAGGATCGGTATCGTTTAACTGATCCCCATCCCCATCTCCATCCCTTTCGAGACCCCCACCAAATTACCATCCCAGTTGGGGATACACCCCCCGAAACCCGAAGGGAACGACCTATATCTCCATCTAGGGTGATAAATCGGCCAGTGAGACCCATGCCACGCCGCTGGGGATGGAGATCGATCAAACAATACTCAGAGGAGGGGCGGGAGGTGGGGGGAGGCGTGTCAGGCGCTGCCTAGCCATTGAAATCCCTAGCAGATTGCGTTTCTGGCGCCGCAGCGGAGTCAGTGCCTTCAGGCTCTTCCAACTCCGAGGGCGCGCAAACGATCTCAGGGTTGACCACTCTGGAAGTCCTGGCAGGTGCCTACGGTCTTGAACCGGCACTTGAGCCTGGGGCAAGATCAGGTACCATGCTGGAGTTCTCTGAAAGAGAGCCTCATCCGCGCAGAACTCTGAAAGAGAGCCTGGAGTTCAGCAAGCTCCGCCTCCTCTTCTCCCGTGGGGTCCAGCAGGGCCGACTGGCCAAGAATTAAGGGAGGACACACCACCCGGACCGGGCAATTGGCGTTTACTGAACGGCCCTTGGCGTTTACCAATCAGCCCTGCCCTGTATGATATGATTTCTTCTTTGGGCGCGTTTGCGAAACGGCTTCGCGTGTCGGGGTGGTTATTATCGGGGTGGATTTTCTGCCTTCCAACAAGGAAGGGAGAGGAGGAGAGAGTCAACCATGGCAGGGGCGATACCCGAGCCCAGCTTGGGAGGGCGAGCTTCTCGGGGGGGCTCCTCCGTCTCGTAAGCTCAGGGCCCCAGCCTGCCATGGAGGGGTGCCCTCCACGACTGGGGGAGCACAGCCCCTTTCTCCTCGGGCAAGCTGGGGAGCCTCACACGCAGCAGTCCAGTGGGGACCCGGCCAGGCTGTCCAAACCCGCATGGATCGAAAACCATGAGACTCGACGCCGGCATGGACACGAGGCTCTCGAGAGGATGGAAGTGCCAGCTAGGCACGCATCTGGGCTCCCGCTCCCATACCAGAGGAGCAGGATGCCAGCTGCCAACCAACTCCATTAGCACTTGCAATAGCACAACGCAGCGCCGATGTGAGCCTGGAACAAATCATTGCAGAGGGCAGTCTGACCTGAGGGGGCGGGGCCTCCTCTCCAACGTGCAACCGAGAAATCGCACACGGAGCCCCCCAAGCCCTGCAATGCTGCCTACTCGGATGTGGTCAGCCCGCATCAAGCAGGCTGCGTTAAATCACCTTCGAGCCGATCCAGCAAGATGCCGATCTAGCGAACGAGCGGCTCGGACGAGGGCGCGTGCACTTGGATAGCGATCTCCACTGCTTGCTGAATGTCGCCCCCTCGACGCGTGCACAAAAAAGCTAGCTACGCAAGCCTGACGCCTTTACAACCTGCGGGGGGCCTTGTCCGACAGGGGCCCAGGAAACAACTTCAGCACTCCTAAGGGGAGCGGCGGGGGGGTATTGCACTCGGCCCCTTTCGCAGGATTTTGCGGGGATGTCTCAGGCGGTTTGGCCATTTTCTCTTCCAACATGCTTCGCTTTCGGAGCAGATTTGGAGGATGTCTCAGGCGATTCGCTGGTTTTAGCACTCCTAAGGGGAGCGGCGGGGGGGTATTGCACTCGGCCCCTTTCGCGGGATTTTGTGGGGATGTCTCAGGCGGTTTGGCCATTTTCTCTTCCAACATGTTTCGCTTTCGGAGCAGATTTGGAGGATGTCTCAGGCGATTCGCTGGTTTTAGCACTCTAAGGGGAGCGGCGGGGGGGTATTGCATTCGGCCCCTTTCGCGGAATTTTGTGGGGATGTCTCAGGCGGTTTGGCCATTTTCTCTTCCAACATGTTTCGCTTTCGGAGCAGATTTGGAGGACGTTCGCGCCTGGTTTGTGGGAATGTCTCAGGCGGTTTGGCCGTTATGATGTTGGGCATCTGTCGTTTTCGGATTGGTTTCAGCACTCCCAAGGAGGAGGAGGAGGAGGAGGAGGAAGAGGAGAAGGAGGAGGAAGAGATGGAGGAATTGAGGAGGAGGAGGAAGAGGACGAGGAGGAGGAGGAGGAGAAGGAGGACATCATGAACACGGTAGGAGCAGAAGCAGGAAGGGGATGATGATGATGATGATGATGATGATGATGATGATGATGATGCTGATGCTGATGCTGATGCTGATGCTGATGATGATGGTGATGATGATGATGATGATGGTGATGATGATGATGATGATGATGATGATGAGGAGGAGGAGGAGGAGGAGGAGGAGGAGGAGGACGTGGGCAACTCGAGTAGCCAGGGCCAGGCGATCGAGGTTCGATGTTCCAAGGCTTTAGGTTTTACTCAAACGCTTCCGCCTCACTCTCCTTCGCTCTCCGCTCTCCTTCACTCTTCTGCATTCATACTCACTCGTACTCAGACTCAGCCACACGCAGGCTCACTCGCACTTAGACTCGCTCATAGCCAGCCTTACACTTACTCGCACTCAGACTCACGCTCAGAACCACTCATACTCAGACTCGCTCCTGCTCAGACTCATCATCCTTCGGTCCGCTCAAACGCAGACCGACTCACACTCAGACTGCCTCACATCCATACCCAATCACACTCGGCTCACTCGCATCCAGATTCATTAACACACACTTTTTCTCACACTCAGACCCACTCAAGCCCAGACTCACTCATGCTCAGGCTCATCATGCTACGATCCGCTCAATCACAGACTGGCTCACACTCAGACTCGTCCATACTCAGGCCCACTAGCACACAGACGCACTCGCGCTCATATTTACTCACACGCATGCCCACTCAAAACCAGGCTTAATTTCACCCAGATTAACTCACACTCAGAATCAGTCGCTCTCAGATTTGCTATTGGTCGCACTCATGCTTGCAGACTGTGGGAATGTCTCGAGCGAGCGGTTCGCCCTCGCACACAGGCGCCCATTGACAGATATCAATAGAAAGACGTACCAAGATAATGAGATGCACATATGGGGAGCCCCGCGCCGAGTAATTTCTTGGACGCCGCCGACTTCTCCTCCTCCTCCTTCTCCTCCCCTCTCCTCCTCATCCCCAGACTTACTCATACACAGACTGACTCACACCCAAACTTACTCATACCCAGACTTACTCTCACACACACAAACTTATTCATACTCAGACCTACTCCTACTCAGACCTACTCCTACTCAGACTTACTCATGCTGAGACTCACGCACGCCCCGTTCGCGGCCGTTTTGCGGGGATGTCTCAAGCGGTTTGCCTGCCTTCTGTCCCAGCATCCTTCGCTTTCGGAACAGATTTGGAGGATGTCTCGAGCGAGGCGCTCTCCCTAAGGTGAGCCGCCGAGGGGTAGTGCACGGTCCCGTTCGCGGCCGTTTTGTGGGGATGTCTGAAGCGGTGTGTGTTTTCTGTCCCAACACCCTTCGCTTTCGGAGCAGATTTGGAGGATGTTTCGAGCGAGGCGCTCATTTTCACGTCCCTAAGGTGAGCCGCCGAGGGGTAATGCACGGTCCCGTTCGCGGCCGTTTTGTGGGGATGTCTCAAACGGTTTGCTTGCCTTCTGTCCCAGCATCCTTCGCTTTCGGAGCAGATTTGGAGGATGTCTCGAGCGAGGCGCTCATTTTCACGTCCCTAAGGGGAGCCGCCGAGGGGTAGTGCACGGTCCCGTTCGCGGCCGTTCTGTGGGGATGTCTCAAGCGGTTTGCTTGTTTTCTGTCCCAACACCCTTCGCTTTCGGATCAGATTTGGAGGATGTCTCGAGCGAGGCGCCCATTATCACGTTCCTAAGGGGAGCCGCCGAGGGGTAGTGCACGGTCCCGTTCGCGGCCGTTTTGTGGGGATGTCTCAAGCGGTTTGCCTGTCTTCTGTGCCAGCATCCTTCGCTTTCGGAGCAGATTTGGAGGATGTCTCGAGCGAAGCGTTCATTTTCACGTCCCTAATGGGGGGCCGCCGAGGGGCAGTGCACGGTCCCGTTCGCGGCCATTCTGTCGGGATCTCTCAAGCTGGTTGCCTGTTGCCTGTCCCAACGTCCTTTGCTTCCGGAGCAGATTTGGAGGATGTCTCGAGCGAGGCGTTCTTTTTTACGTCCCTGAGGGGAGCCGCCGAGGGGTAGTGCACGGTCCCGTCCGCGGCCGTTTTGTAGGGACGTCTTAAGCGGTTTGCCTGTTTTCTGTCCCAACATCCTTCGCTTTCGGAACAGATTTGGAGGATGTCTCGAGCGAGGCGTTCATTTTCAAGTCCCTAAGGGGAGCCGCCGAGGGGTAGTGCACGGTCCCGTTCGCGGCCGTTTTGTAAGGATGTCTCAAACGGTTCGCTTGTTTTCTGTTCCAACATCCTTCGCTGTCGGAGCAGACTTGGAGGATGTCTCGAGCGAGGCGCTCATGTTCACCCCCCAGGTGGGCCAGATGTTGAGGATGTCTCGATCGGTTTGCTTATTTTGGTGGCCAGGCTCGTGGGCGCAGATTCTCTTCAGGATGCCACAGGAGGCTCCAACAGGCTTCAGGAGGCACCAGGAGACCACATGAGGTCCCAGGAGGCATCAGGAGGCCACAGAGAGACTCAAGAGGCCACAGGATGTCCCAAGAGGCTCCAGGACGCCCCAGGAAGCTCCAGAAGGCCTCAGGAAGCCACAGGAGGCCCCAGGAGGCCACAGGAAGCGTCAGGAGGCTTCGGAAGGCAACAGGAGGCCCCGAGAGGCCCCAGGAGCAGGAGGCTTCAGAAGGCAACAGGAGTGGCTCCAATCCCATGTGTTTTACATAGGCTCCTATCGATTGGGCCTCACTTGGAGCGCGATTCCTTGATGTTATACGTATGTTTCTATATATTGTCCTTCTCCTGTGTATACAATCCTACATGTTTTACTTACGTTCCTGTACATTGGGCCTCTCCTGGGGCACGAGTCCGTGGTGTTTTACGTGTGTTCTTATATATTGCCCTTCTCCTGTGGCTCTAGTCCTCAATGTTTTATGTACGTCTGTTGCTATAGATAGGGCCTCTCCTGGGGCACGACACCTCCCTAGGAGGTCCCAGGAGGCCCCAAGAGGCTCCTAGAGACCCCAGGAAGCCCCAGTAGGTTCCAGGAGGCCTCAGGAGGCCCCAGGCTCATGCGCAGAGACGCGCTCGTACTACTGAGGCTCACTCACACTCCAATTCATTCGCAGTTGGATTCATGTCCAGACCGTCACAACTGAAGCCCGTTTATATTCGAAAGCTCTTGCGCCTAGACATTCACGGCGGACAGGTCCATGCGAATACAGTCGGGGCGCTAATCAAGGAACCCTTTTCGTCGGGGAGGGGCTCCGTGTTCCTTAATTATTTCGCAGCTTGCCTTATGTTGTCCTCAGGTTTTCGATGGTGAATCGAAGTTTAACTGATTGAAAAAAAGGGGCCTCGTTCCTTATTTAGGGTTCCTTAGGTCAACGCCCCGACTGTAGATGCACATATGGGGAGCTCCACGCAGTGAATACTTTTTGACTATTTTTAAATGTTTCCTCCAAGCTCCCGCTGTAGGGGGACATGCCCGACTTCACCCTCGCGCCCGCGCGCGGGGCGCAGGCGCGGGCCCCGCGGGAGGAGGACGACGACCTGAGCGACGGCTGGGAGGACGCCGGCTCCGCGGCGGAGGCGGCGCGTCCGCCCGCGCGACGCCCTCGGAGGAGGAGGGCCTCGTCGCTGCCATCCGACCGCGCGATTCTTCTCCAGTGCCGCTCTACCCATGGTTCAATTCTCATTCTTCGAACGGTTTTTTGTTTTCGGGGGGGCAAGATCCTTTCATTTCTAATTCTTCTGTCCTGGGCTTCTTCTTGGCCACCAGGGGGCCAGGAACAGTTAGAAACGAGCAGAATTAGAAGTGAGCACGAAAAGAAATGAACGATGTGTAGCCGTCGGCCGCCTGGGAGGCGCCTTTTTTGGGGGCCTCCTGGGAGGCCCCCGTCGCCACCGCCGGATTCGCCTCGAAATCCTGGTCAGAAAGCGCCCGGGGAGAGCGGGGAGAGGCCCGGGGGCAGCGGCATCGGTATTTTTTGGTTTCCCCAGTTCTGGGCGTTGTCTGTCGTCGTCCGTCGACGTCGGCTTCGTTCAGGTCCCCGGCTCCAATGCGACCACAGGGGAGTGTTCGGGCCATGTTCTTGGATCTCATTCTGCCACGCGCGGATGCCGCCCACTGCTCTCCTGACACAGGATTCATCTTGGATCAGTGGTTCCAGGGTTCTCTCGGATCACATGTTGAGGGCCCCAAGCGATGCCGTACCGACCAGACCTAACCCCGATAGTTTGTAATACAGTTGCGCAATTCGTGTACGTCGGCGTTGGCGGCGTCGTCGTCAGCCTCGTTGTCCTCGTCGTCGTCGTTTGGTGTGGTTCGGCGTCACCGTCGTAGTCGTCAATCTCGTTGTCTTCCTCATCGGATTGTCGTCGTCGGCAGCTATGTCGGCTTCGTCGCCGTCGTCAACCTCGTCAGCCTCGACAGCGTCGTCGTCGGCGTCGGCGTCGCGATCATCCGCATCGGCGTCGTCCGTGTCGGCGGTGGCGGAGATGGACGGGGCGGAAAGAGGAGGATGGTGCGAAACAGGTAGAGGAGGTCGAGAAGATATATGAGGATGATGTCAGCTGTCGCGTCCAGCGCTTTCCTGCCATCGTGTTTTACGTGCTCGGTCTTGCCAGCAGCAGTCCCCGATGTTGTCTATGCTCGGTGAGGAGCAATGGGGCTCCCTCCTGGCCGTTGCCCTTGAGTCGCGAGGTTTCCTCTCCATGATTCGGGAAGCCGCCGTGCTTACGGCGGCAGGTCCCCCTGCGTCCTGCACAAGCCTCCGTCCGCCATTCGCAGCGTTCGCTCCTTCTCGTCCTCTCTTCCTCTCACAAATTTCTGGGGGCCGAGCAAAAATTGTCAACGACTTTCCCCAACGAGAGCATTGGTTCGGCCCTTTCTTCCTCTCCAAAACTCTTGTTCGGTCAAAAGTTGTGAATCTAAATTGTTGTTCGCCCCCAAACATGCTTGTTCGGTCCAACATTTTGTTCGCTCCCTCATCGCCTCCCCGGCATTCTCCATGGCCACCTAGGCTCGCAGCACCGCGCATGGTGTGCCGTGACGAGGATCGCACCATGTGATTCCCCGACGCGCCTGGGAGCTGCCCCGCAGGCCGTGCAGTGCAGTGGTGGGGGCGTGGCAGGGAGCATCACGCCGCGGCAGGAGGACAAGGGAGGGGGTCGGAGGACGAGGAACAAGAACCCGCTCAGCACAGCAAGGGTACAGTGGGGGTCGTGCGAAGTCCCCGCCGAGCTCGCACAAGTCACTGCCCAGTACTTTGGTATAGCATTTGCAGCGAGCGCATCATCGGGGCGTGGAGGACGAGGAACAAGAAGGCAGGAGAAGGCATGAGAAGACGGATCAAGATGCGAAGGCGGAGGAGTACGAGGGGGGGGAGGACGAGGTGCAGGAGGAGGAGGAGGAAGAGGAGGAGGAGGAGGAGGAGATGTGGGCGAGCCGTAAAGCTGTGAGGAGGATGAGGCGGAGGAGGAACGGCCATAAATTGAGGAGCACGACGCGGATGGCGATGATTATGGTGGTGGCGTTGATGAGGTGGTTGATGATGATAATGCTGTAGTTGGTGATAAAAGTGGCCATGCGCATGATCATGATGGCGATGCTGCTGCTGGTGATGCTGATGCTGATGCTGCTGATGATGACAGTGCTGCTGCTGTTGCTGATCACAATGATGGTGTTGCTGATGATGATGTTGTTGATGATGATGCTGATGATGACCATGGTGATGATGCTAATGATCATGATGCTGATGATGGTGATGGTAATGATGAGGATGAGGATGATGATGATGATGAGGATGATGTTGAGGAGGATGATGACGAGGATGAGGATGAGGACGATTATGCTGATGCTGATGCTGATGACGTGATGATGATGCTGATCATGCGGATGGTGATGCTGATGATGATGCGTATGCTGCTGATGATGATGCGTATGCTGCTGATGATGACGAACTTGATGCTGATCATGATGACGGTGATGGTTGCGACGAGGATATCGGCGATGACGACTGCAATGCGGATGACGGTGATGGTGATGGTGACGGTGGTGACGATCATATCGACGATGACAATGGTATCGACAATGACGATTATAATGTTGATGACGGTGATGGTGATCGTGATGGCCATGGTGATGATGCTAATCATGACGATGATGATGAGGATGATGATGAGGATGGTGGTGGAGATAGCGACTATGATGGTGATGATGATGGCGATCGCGATTTTGGTGGTTGGTAATGTGGTGAATTGGTGATGGTACTGCGGCTGCTGCTGCTGATGATGATGGTGGTGGTGATGATGGCGATGACGTTGATGATGATGTTGATGATGATGCTGCTGCTGATGATGATGGTGACTGTGGTGGTGATGATGACGACGACAACGCTGATGATGCTGATGATGATGCTGCTGTTGCTGCTTATGATGCTGCTGATGATGATGATGCTGATGAAGATGATGATGATTCGATGATGATGTGGTGGAGGAGAAGGAGGAGGAGGAAGAGGAGGAGGAGGATGAGGAGGAGGAGGGTGAGTGGGATGACGGGGGAGAAGGAACAAGTGGATGCTGAGTGTGAGTATAAGTGTGAGTGCGAGGAGGAGGCGGAAGAGGAGGAGGAGGAGGAGGAGGAGGAGGAGGAGGAGAAGTAGGCGGCCATGAAGGAGCAGCGGTGGTGGAGTAGTGGCAACAGTGGGAAGAGGCGGGGCAGGATGGGAGGGAGGGGGACGGGGAATGGGGGGAGGACGGGGAGGAGGGGAAAATGTGGAGGCGGAGCAGGAGGATAGCGCAGGGCGGAGGAGCGGGGTTGGGAGGGCTGAGCGAGGGTGATCTGGCTCGGGCCCTCCTCCTCCTTCTCCTCCTGCCTCCACCTCCTCCTCCTCCTCCTCCTCCTCCTCCTCCCTCCTCCTCCTCCTTCTCTTCCTTCTCCTCCTCCTCCTCCTCCTCCTCCTCCTCCTCCTCCTCTTCCTCATCCACCTCCCTTCATCCTTGATTCGGTTTGCCACCAGTTCCGCCCAAGCCTCCGCCTGCCCTAGCAGGTCGGGACTGGAGCACCCTCGGCCGCACAGGTGGGCCGCCTGGCGCGAGACTGAGTGGTGCCCAGGACCACCCCCAAAGGTCCCCATGCCCAAGGGAAACTAGGTGGCGCGCATGCATGAGCTTCCCCCGACCGCCCTGTTGCCGGGGTGACCCAAGTGCTGAGATTGACGCTTCCACCTCCTCCGCTTCCTCCTCCTCCGTCCTCTTTCCTCGTCCTCCGTCCCTCCTGCATCCTCAGCTCCAAAATGGAGCGAGAAGCTAGGGGCACCTTGGGCCAGGGGCACCTTGGGCCAGGGGTACCTTAAGCAGCCCCCGATCCCTGCTCACGCCGAGGTGGAGAACGCCGCAGGTCGGAGTCCCCGGACGTTCAGGCGTGGTGGACCAGAAGTGTACTTTTGCTCGCCGACCCCATCCTGAGGCGGCCGAGTCGAGGCGTGAGTTGGCGTCTCGCCTCGACCTTGCTGTCGCCGAGGCTATTATTCACATGTGCGTGCGCTGTTCTCTGGACAGGACCAACGCATGCGCCTGCTCCTCCACCCTCTATGACGATGTGCTTGTCAATCCGCCCTTGTCCGAACTTGGCCAGTAGTTGACCAGGAGGAGGATTAGGATTCGGGGGTGGAGGGTGGTGGGAAGACGAGAAAACTATGTCCTGCCTGTTCTGCGTCCCAGTCAGCGGTGCTAAAGTACCTTCCTCCCACCTCCCTGCCCTTAATTCCTCCCCCCCCTCCTCTCTGCTTGTGCTCTGCGAGTGTGAGCCCTGAGAGGCCAAGGGGTGGCATGACGCCATCTTGTCGCGCGTTGTCGTCAGCTTCCAGCGGTGACTGCAATTGATCGCTTTCGTTCTCAGCTGATCGTCGTCGCTGTCATTGTGACGGCGATTGCAGCCTCGCTCCCTCACCGCATAGTCGGCGCTCTCTGGCCACATCGCGCGGACCAGCGGGTCGGAGGTGGTAGATCCATGTCTCAATTTCGTGTCGCTATTGCTCATTCTTTTTCCATCCCTTCTCCTGTCCTGCTTCTCTAGAGTGGCCGAGTGCCCAAGCCACGGTAGTCGTTCCAGTGTGAGACCCGATCCCGGTCGTTTGATGTGAGTGTGGGGTGTTTCGGTGGGGATGGTATTGGTGAGGGAAGGACACTGCTTTCAGAGCTCTTCAGGCGCCCGTGCCAGAGCTTTGGTCTGACGAATGTTCTGCGAGTTGCATGTCTGCCTCTGCTGACAGGCTCCCAGCTGAATCAGCATCGCAATGTTGACGGGGCAGGAACAGATGCAAACGTCACACGAGGACTGCCGGTGGCGTTTGCTCCCCTGCTCTCGTCTCATCTCGTCCGGCGATGCAGATTGGTGGCTAGCCGACAGCCGCTTAGTGTTGGTTATGAAGGTCAGGTCAGTGCGCCGCTTTGGCCTGCGCCCGGCAGCCCTGGTGACATATATATATATATATATATGTATACACATTCCTATGCCAGCTCCCCTGGCGTGCGCATATCGCCGCCTTGCGTCCGCCGCCGTCTCGTTCTCGTGACGTGCCGAGGGC